GGGTGGCTGGCAGCTCACAGACCAGGCCCAGAAAGGGAAAAGTACACACAGGTTGGCTAAGGTAGTTGGGAGGACATCTGTCCAAAATGCCCAAAGGACAGATGGAATCCCACGTGAAGGGCCCAGGGAATAATAGAACGACAATAAAGCGTCCATTGGGATGTACGTGCCTGGCAGTGATCTGGCTGGGGCACCATCTCCCAACAAGATCCTCACCTCACTCCACCTACAACTTCACTACGTTCTTCAGATTAGTTAGCTGCCTTCCGTGGCTTGACAAGGGCTTTACTGAAATGCCTAAAGCAGGGGTGAGGAACCTCAGGCCCGGGGGCCAGATGCGGCCCTGGCTTGCCTGGATCCAGCCCTCAAGGCTCAGTCCCTCTCCCCCCCACCCTACATTAGGGAACCCGCACTGGAGTTCCAGCCTCCCCACTGCCCTACCACAGGGCTGGAGCACACAAAATCTACTAGGCTGGGCCCCCCCACAAGCTCTGGTGTGGGAGGGGAATGTGGGGAGTGACCTTCTTCTTCTCAGTCAGGGGGCACATCAGTGGGGGGGGGTGTTTTTTCATTTTGTTTTATTTTGTTTTGGGTTTTTTTGCTTTTCACTTGTGTGTGGCCCCCGACTGATTTTTCTACGGGTGAGTGGGCTGTGACCCAAAAAAGGTTCCCTACCTCTAGCCGAAGGGGTGCCATAGGGGAGATGGTCTCTTGAAGACTGCAGGTTGACAAGGAGAGGAATCCCTTAGAACCATGGTGACCAACCAGTTCTGAAGCAGTAGGCCCTAGAGCGGCTACTGCTAGTGAACTAGCCACATTATTCTGAAAATGTAAATAATTTTGTGAGCCAACTAGCCACATTCACCTGGCCAAATAGCCACGTATGGCTAGTGGCTGGCATGTTGGACACTGTAGCCTTAGAAGATCCTAAGAAAAGACGCTCTGAAACCATACGCCGTAGGAGGTGTGCACGAGGAGAGCAATGGATGGATGACAAGGGAGGGATCACGTGAGGATTAACTGTTGTGTTCACTCCCTCTGGGGCATCTGGTATTGGCCACTGTCAGTAGACAAGACACTGGGCTAGATGGACACCTTTGGTCTGACCCAGGATGGCCCTTCTTATGCTAACTCCTAGGAACCTAGCACCCTGGAAAAATGCACATGTCCATCATGCAATGGGTGACATGTATCCCTGCATAGAGAGTGCTTATTGGGACTTCAGTAGCTTAAGTCGGACCGCCGCCATCTTGGCTAAAGGGAGCTAAACTGGGGACTGCCAAAGCTAAATGCACCAGTTACCATGCTTGAGCCAAAGCAGGAGCTGCAGAAGACTTCTATCTCTTGTGGACCAGCAGAGATGGGGTACCAGTAACGTACATTCCCTAAAGGGTGACATAGACTTTGTGCTGACCCTCTAGACTTGATGGAATTTCATTCTGAAGGCTTGAAGTTTCAGCTGAGGCCCAAAGTCTCCACTTGTTGAGTAGTGGGTCACTGCCCCCATTGCAGGGATCCACAGGAAATATGTGCCCACCTAGAACCGACTTTCTTCTCTGCTGAATGCCAATGCTGAGCAAGTACAAAATCAAATTGTGTGGGCACTATTTGCAAGGAATTTATTTCCAATCTAGGAAATAATTTAACATGTGGGATTTTGATTCTCCACTTCTATCACATGTTTGCCAAAAAGGAAATTATGCTGCCACTGGATGGATTAATAAGGAATTACTTACTGGAAATTAAACTCAATTTGTTTCAGCCTCCATTTTTCTCTCTCAGGTTAATGGATTCTAGTTATTAACCATACAATATCTCTAATGAGTCTTAATCCTTTGTTTCACCGCTGGACATTAAGGGTACGTCTAGACTATACCTCTCTGTCGACAGAGAGATGTAGATTAGGCATGTCAAAATTGCTAATGAAGCAGGGATTTAAATATCCCGCGCTTCATTAGCGTAAACGTGGCCGCTGCTTTTTTTCTAAATGGGAGCTTTTTCCAAAAAAAACCCTCAGCAGTCTAGATGTGGATCTGTCGAAAAATAAACACTTTTTCAACAGCTCCTGTAAACCTCATTTTTTGAGGAATGCAGGATCTGTCAAAAAAGTGTTTATTTTTCGACAGATCCGCATCTAGATTGCCGTTGTTTTTTTTTTTTTTTTTTTTCCTGAAAAAGCTCTGTTTAAAAAATAAGCAGCGGCCACGTTTACGCTAATGAAGCACGGGATATTTAAATCCCTGCTTCATTAGCAATTTTGATGTGCCTAATCTACATCTCTCTGTTGACAGAGAGGTGTAGTCTAGACACAGCTTGAGTGGCCAACAAACTGCCCTGAGTATGAAGAGGGACGAACAGCACTTTTGTCTTTCCTCTGCTCCAGAAGCAGAGCAAACAGCATAAAATTTGGGACTATGAAAGGGCTGGTCCACAATTTTAAGACTAGAAACATAGTCAATTTCACATTGCCATTTGGCTTGTCCACAGAGTGGAGAGCAAGACAGCTAGCAAAATGCCTGGAGAAGAGTGAAGGTTAGGAGGGAACTAATCAAGAAAGAGATGGATGGAGTGACTGGGGCAGAAGCAAGGGCAACTTTCCTCTCATACTTCTGGTAGTCTGATGTAACCCCACTGGAACAGATCCTTAGCTTAACAGAGAGAAGCAACGTACCTCCATTGAAGCTATTGGAAACTATCCTGAAGAACTAGCGTGCTGACTTTAATAGTTACTTCAGATTTGCATTAGTGTGTAAATGGCCCAAATAATGGGGAGAAAAGAAAGAAAGAAAGAAAGAAAGAAAGAAAGAAAGAAAGAAAGAAAGAAAGAAAGAAAGAAAGAAAGAAAGAAAGAAAGAAAGAAAGAAAGAAACACAGATGTTTCTGCATTGCATTTATTGATAATTATGTTGGTCAGCAAGGTCATCAGGGATGAGAAACAAAAAGGTGGGGGGCTTGTAACTCACAGACTCCTATATAAAACAGGGCTAATCTACACTATACCAGCTCTGCTGATATAGTCACTCCATCAGCATTACACCAGCACTGTCCTCTACTACAGGTGTAGCATATGCTGACAGGAGTTTTTCTGTTGGCATAGCAATATTCCCTCCATAGCCCTGAAAGTAGCACTCATCTGTCAGCATGGCTACATCTACATGGAAGAGATGGAGGTGGTTTCTGGTATAGCTATGTCGACTGTGAGTATGGGTGTTTTCATACCTCTGACCAACAAAGCTACACTGATCTCCCTAAGGCTATGTCTAAGCTACGAGATTTTGCCAGAAGAGGCAATGCAAATGAAGTGCTGATTAGCATTTTGTCACGCTTCATTTGAATAATCTATTCTGAGCCATTTTTGCGCAAAACATGTCCGTTTTTCACAAAAAGGGGTTTTGCGCAAAAATCCTTGTCCAAAACCGGCTTGGACTAGATTATGCAAATGAAGTGTGACAAAATGCTAATCAGCACTTCATTTGCATTGCCTCTTCTGGCAAAAGCCATAGTGTAGACAAAGCTTTAATGTGTTCGCGCTAGTAATTGCTCTCAAGATTCACAATATACAAGGGAAGCAGCATTAAAAGTACATTCCCATGGATATTTCCCACTCTCCCACACACAACATCTGTTGAAATCAACAGAAACACTCCTTTGGTTACAGGAGACAACAGAAGCCCGGAGAGGTTAAGTGACCTGTCCCTCGGGACAGAGGAAGTGCTAAGAATAAAAGCCAGATCCCCTGTCCCTTAGCCAAGAAATCATCCTTACTCCTCAAGGGGAAATTTGCTTGACCTGAGGGTTCACAATAAGCTATAACTTGAGGTAAATGTTTTGATGCAGCTGAGTCAAGCTGGAACTAAACCTTCAGGCTGCTTCATGACTTGTGGTAGAAACTGTAATGCTGCAAAATGGGCTGGCTTTGCAATGCCAGGCAAAATGTGCCACTGCCCGAGTTTCGTTTTGAGTTGTTGGGTTCAACTGAATTCGTAACTTGGGGCGGCTCTCGGAGTGCACATAAAATTAGCTCTAAATCAAGACGAAATGCATCAAACAAAAAGTCCTTCAAAAGTGAAACGGACAAGATTTGTCCACTCCCGTCCAACCTGATGGGGAAAATTCATCCTTCAGGCACATCCCCTGAAGTTAAATTTGGTCCCACCCTAATATAGCAACAGCAGACACAATTAATAAAAAACAAACATGCTTTAGAAGAACTGGAGAGAATAATCGTGGTCTTTCAACTCTAAAAAGTCAGGCTTCTACCATCGGCATTAAAAGAGAGCTCCCCATGCCAGCAGCAGTAGTAGGTCCCTTCACCTCTTTGTGACTCCAGCCATTAGAGGGCACCACTCAATTACTTACCTATATAAAGTTACTACATTGTGGGTCTAGTTTTCTGTCTTTTCACTCCAGTTTTACATTGCCGTAGTGCCATTAACTTCACTAGAGTTATTTCTGGTTGACCCCAGCATGAGACATTACGCTCCAAAACACAATTCTCGGGAAACTTTCATTATTATTGTGATTATTACAATACCACCTAGAAGCCCCCTGTTTTAGTAGGCGCTGTGCATAGTAAGAAATAGTCACTGCTCTGAAGAACTTACAACTTGTAGCCAATTCAGACGGAGGGTAGGTCTCTAAAACATGTTAGTGCATTGCAAACAAGTGCTCAATCTACAGTGCACCTGCTTACCATAAAGCCCAAAAGGAGCCACTTTATCCCCGTATCACAGATGAGGGGCACAGCAGCTAAATGTTTTGCCCTAAGGCTATATAGAAAAATTTGTGGTAGAGCCATGAATTGAGTCTGAGCCACAGGGCCATGCTCAGGGCCCTCACCAATTGCACCAGCCTGTTGGGTTTGAAGTGAGACACCAATGTTCAAAAACATGACTGATAAACTAGAAGAAACAAACAGCAGATCCCCCGGCATGCTCAGTAAATAAACAAACAGATTTCAAATGCAAGTGGGAGAGCATATTTTTAGCCAGCCTTTTTACCTGCAGGTGGGTCCATTCTGTATTTATTCTCTTGACACCAACCGACTGGTCGAAGTCTGCAATCCAAGTAAAACAACCACTGGTCATAGGATTCAGTCTCCTCCAATCCCACATAGCGAAGGCGTAATCTTCCTCCAACATTTTCAACCACACTAACTATCCAGTACTGAAAAGGGTTCTGAGAATCCTGCAGCTCTATTAAGGAATCAACTGTAATGAGGTCTACAGGGTTTTTTCCTCGCAGAGGCTGTTTGAATAGAAGCAAAACTCCTTATTTTAAATTTTATGTGAAGACTTCTCAAGGAAACAGACGACAGCAGAAGATTATTTTTTGTTTTTCACACCATCATCCACGCTATCAGCAAACAGTCTGTTCTCCTTCTCTTTTACCCAACGGCTTCCAAGCGCAAATTCAGAAGCAAACAGAAAAACAACAGTTGTGCTAATTTCTCGACCAGCAGAAAAATAAAATAATATTCCTGTTGGGCCTTTTAGGATTCTTAGCAATCCAGCTAGTAGCATTCTTCTTACAGACTCAGGGTCCAGTCCTACAAAGGGATTTCACCCCCACTAGCTCTAACTGGAGTTTGGAGTATATATCCCATCATAGGACTGAGCCTGGAAATTAATGGAGATTAATGCTACTCAGGGCATGGGCCTGAAAGCCCCCTGTGCACAGGGCTCTCATGCACCATGGCCTTGATCCTGCTCCCACTGTCATCAATGTCAAACCTCCCACCGACTTCAGTGGGCGGAAGATTGGGCCATCCAGTGGGAATTTGAAGGCCTGATCCCAAGGCCACGGAATATGCATGAGCTTCAAAGTGCATGAGATCAGGCACTAAAAGACAGAAGTTTTCTGGATCAGGCCCTCTTAGCTGATTCTGCAAAATAAACCAAGAAGTCCCAATGACCATGCATGTTTCCTTATACACAGAGGACTTTCTAAGGCCCTGATTCTGCAAACACTTATGCACATGCTCAGCTTTAACACTGCAGTATCACCAGCCTCAAGCATTCAAAACCATGAGTCAGGCTCCAAAAATCATGTGATTAGAATAAAAATCATGAGGTTGGGGGAGGTTGCACAAAATAATACATTTTGGATTCTTTTTATTTCTCTTTTGGTTAGAGGGCACTTGCTTCTCATTTTCAAGCTTTTCTCTGAAATTCATGAGGGATAGAAACATACTTTTTTAAAAATGAAAGCTGAGAGTCTCACACACAAATCTTTGGATTCCAGGAGTTGGGGAATTAAGAAACATATTAAAACAATCATGAGATTCATGCTAAAATCAGGAGAATTGGTAATCTGCTTTTCCAAGCAGTCTCAAATGTCCACAGCAATGAAATTAAGCACATGCATAACTGTTTGAAGCATTGTGGCCTAAATTGTTAGTTGTTCGTGTACCAAGCTTGCTGAAGGAAAAAGACAGTAAAAACCAATAGCCTTTATAGGGATTGCAAATAAGAGATAGTTTGAAAATGGTTCATTCTAGGGCTGGTTGGCAGCGGGGGGACGTCCCTTTTTTCTCCATTCCAAAAATTTGCAAAAGTTTGAAATTCAAACTTCTGCCAGCATTAGAGTTTATCAATAAAATGGAAATGGTCAGGGTTCAAATTGAAAGATTTCTTTTGGAATTTGTTCCCTTTTATTTTTAAAATAAAAAAAATAAATTTGAAATGTTGTATTATGAAAAATTTCAACCAGCTCTGTGAACAGTTGATACATCTCAGTGCAATACATTTGCTTTCAGTGTTAGCCACTTTCTTTCTGTACTTATTTAAATGCATCCATACAATCTCATAAAGCATCATGTCATGGCAAAATACTGTTTCTAAATATAATAACATCATGGAAGGCTGATGTAATGTGATTTTTCTTCCATACAACAATTGCTTCTGTGCAATAAAGCATTCTTTAACATCAAAGGATATAGTAACCCTGTAATGACTTAATTTATTATAATAGATCCCTGGCCATTAGAAAGCTAATATTGCTTCTCTGATCTACGCACTCGAATCTAAGCCAAACAATCAGTTGTCACTTATCCATGAGAGCAAAATGCTAAAATTAATATTTGAATTGTGTTGAGTATTAATTTTGAAAGTACAGCAAAAGCCCTTTTATGAACAGCTCCAGTACAGAAAATTACCTTGTTAAATCAATATGCAATGTTAACAATGAGCTTACGTGCTGATTAACAGTAATTCCATTTTCTAGTGGGTTACACACACAGCATGACGTACTGTATTACCCACATACCTCGCACATAACAGAGCATAACAACATTAAAAACAAGACTGCACACTGTTTCCATCCAAGCTACTGTTTCTATCCAAGCTACTTCTGCACTTGCTAACTGCCTGTTTCTTCTACCAATCTAAGCAGAGGGAAGGTTATAGCCTATAAGTGACATAGGGGCTTATTCTGATCTCATTCACATTAACCTAGAATTGAGCCAGTGTGAAATAAGACTCCAGCCCTAAGACTCCACATATTCTAGCAGAGAGCATGACCATAGACCCATCTGCCACAAGCATCTAAGGCTGTGTCTACATTACACCTTATGCCGACATAACTTATGTCACTTTAGGGGTGTAAATAAATTATCCTCTTGAGTGACACAAGTTACCCTGACATAAGCACCAGTGTGGACAGCACTCACATAGCTTCTGCCACTCACGGGGACTGGACTAGTTAAGCCGACAGGAGAATTCCTTCCCACTGGCTTCGAGCGGGTCCCTGAGAAATTTTAGAGCAGTGCAGTTGTATTGGTGCAGCGGTCCCACTGTAAACTCTCCAGTGGAGTCATGTCCTATGTTTCTTTTGAACATATAGGATGTTCGGCCTTGTGGACTTAAAAACCCTGGTGGCTAACTAGTCAAGTACACACACTTGTTAAAAAATGAGTGTGCATATTTGTAACTTGCAGGAGTGGGCAGGACTAAAGCTATCAAAGACAGGAGTACCTTGAAATGCATGTCTTTGAAAGGTAAACAAGAGTTTACACAGACGTAAAACCCATGTTTGCTTTAACTCATAATTTAACCAGGTAGGGCAGAGGACCAGTCTCATCCAGGGAATATCCCAGCACTACAGATCCGGCTAGCCTGTGCTCTACATTCCTGAGCCACCAGGTGATGCTATAGCGCACATTGCAAGTATCTCTATCACCCCAGTTGCTGTACGGGATGGCTCCTGCAGGAAAATGCTTTCTCCAAAGCCCCAATGCAGCACTGAGCCAAGAGCACGGAGAGTCCCTGCAAAGAAGCTGCCAATTTCACACAACTTCAGATGACATCATCAATGGGCCCAATATTTACTCAAAGGGGACCATGCACGTCAGTGCATCTTCCCACGAACCTGATCTGGAATTGGCGCTTTTAAGCGAGCCCGATGCCAGGGGAGTTTGGCATGGATGTCTTTCGCCCTGCACCCATGCTCAGTGCTTAGAGCACCAAGGCATCTGGCAGTGTGTTTAACATGTCCCCATCACCTCACCTGAGCAGAACAGAGAGAGATTCCTTATAGCCTAGTGAGCTTTTGTGCACTAATCGCCTAATCTTGCCCCCAGTGGGTAACTGGACTTTACAGGAGGGAGATCCAGTAGGAAAATGAATTCTCTCTGTATGCCCCCCCCCAGGCTTTGTCTAGCATCGACCTTTGGGTTGACTAGCGGATTCACTGAATCTCCCCCTCCCCACCCCACGTGTCTGTTGGTCTAACCCCCGGCCGGCCAGAGAGACCTAATGCTCCCCGGGGCAGACCACTCCAGAGTTCTCCCTCAAACTCCACAATGGAGAGACCTAGATTCTTCTAATTTTGAGGCTTCCTGTCCCTTACTTGGGCCTACCTGTGATATGAACTCCCTCCGACAGGATTCCAATAGGAAAACTTCTTTGACCTGAATCAGGCCCACAGGGTTATGTCTACACTGCAGCTGGGAGGTGCCACTCCCAGCAATCGTAGACAAACTGGTGCTAGCTCCATTCAAACTGGCACACACAAAATAGCAATGTGGATATTGTGGCAGGAACGGAAGCTCAAGCTAGCAGCACAAGTCCATGCCCGCCTGACCCCCTAGGTCCAAGCTGTAATGGTCAGCCCAAGTCACTGCCTTCACCGCAACATCCACATTGCTATTTTTAGCATGCTAATGTAAGTGGAACTGGCACCCGTCTGCCTACCCACACTAAGATCATACCTCCTAGAGGCAGTATAAACGCCCCTTATAGGGAAAACAGACATTGCAAGCACATGGCCCCATATTTTAATGGTTGAACATTGCTATAATACAATACTATTAAATATAAACTGCAATCTAATACATACGCCTTCCAGTAAATTTGCAGGTGCCGTCCGGGAGCCTGTCAAATCGTGTATAAGAAATGCCGTCCAGTCAGCGTATTTCTCTTTGATAGCTGAGGAAGGAAAATAAAAGAAATATTTAGCACTGCAGATGACTCTACATACATTACAGAGCCACTTTCCATGGGCAGGACCCGCATGGGCTTATCAGCTCTACACTTTGCTGTATCAACAGAGAACAGAGCCAGGAGTTAATAGTTTTAGAAGCAAATGCAGACAGCTCCATGCACACATACCCGCCCCCCATGCATATACATACTTCCCCCTCCCAACACACACATGGTCAGATCCTCGGCTGGGGGAAGTAGGTGTCACTCCACTGAAGTCAAGGACAATGATTTACACCAGATGAGGTGGCAAGGGATGATCTGCATCTTCCCAACCACATGCTTTGGGCTCACCCCATCCCCCTTGTCATAAAAGGTATTTGTGAATGTTTTACAATCACCCCAGAAAGACAAAAGCCACGATCACATTGGACCCACTGACAGGGCAGTAACGTGGAGACTCCACAACATTCTTGCCAGGTGACCAACAAGGCAGCCCTTACGGCATCACTAACTAGCCAGTGAATTATTGTTTGTGAAGAGCTAAGGAAGGATTGAACCAAATTCCTAGGTACTTCTACTCAGTTTCACAATATCTGATCCACTCTCTTCCAGCCAAACAACACAAATCTTTTGTAGCATTCAGCATTCACTAATTTTTGTAAGGCTGGAATTTACAAAGCACAATAGGATTTAGATGCCCAATTCCTTTTAACAGGAGTGACAACTGGCACTCAACTCAATCAGTGAAGCTATGCCAGACGTCACCAGTGGAAAATCAGGCCCAGCAGGTGTGAAATTGCTCTGTTTTGAGAAACTTTCAGGTTAGTTAAGAAAGAGCTTAAAATCCTGATTGTAGGTCTTGGAAATCATATATTCCTTTGCATTTCTGTACAGCACCTTCCACATTGGATTTTCTAAGCACTTTGTAAATATTTATTAGACAGCATACTTGCGAGGTGGGTCTAGTCCTGAAAAACTGAGGCACATAGTGGTTGTATGCCAAGTTTCCTGACAAGATGTCTGCTCTTTTGCAGGTAAAATAGACACCTGCAAAACTTTTTTGTACAAGCAAAACATACTGTGGGTGCATTTGCACCTGTGGTCAGCTAGCTAGGGACAAGAATTCAGATTTGCACAGCAGGTCCAGTGCTAACACAACAGCACAAGCACAAGTGCTACAGCCTCAATTTTCACTCTGAGATGAGGAGACCAAGCCTCAGCCCTTTTCAACATGCATCCTTTCGCAACTTGCCCAGGGGTGCCCAGTAAATCCACTCCATATCCAGTAGGAGAAATAACTGGGAACTTTAAAGCATCCTCTTGGGAACTGATTTTCTCTTACATTCTGGCCAGTTTACAGTGCTCTGATAGCAGAGAAGGTTTTTAAGGCGTGTGTCTATGCTGCAGTTGGGAGGTACAAGCGCACCTTGCAGAGACATACCCACACCAGCTTTCGTCTAGCCAGCTCAGATACCCGAACAGCAAAACTGCAGCAACCCGGCCTTCTGTGGCAGCTCTATAGCCCCACCTGGAACCCTGGGTAACCACTTGTGGGCTAGTCTGTGCTGAAGCCCATGCTGCTGCAGCTTCATTGCTCTAATACCTGCGCTGGCTAGGTTAAAAATAGCTTGGGTTCATCTGCACAAGCTGCAATTACACCCTATGACTGCAGGGTAGACATACCCTGAGGCTGTGTCCAGACTCAGGGTTTTTTTCGAAAAAAGTAGCCTTTTTTCGAAAAAACTTCCCCTGCGTCCAGACTCAAGCCGCGTTCTTTTGAAATTAATTCGAAAGAACGCGGCTTTTCTTTCGATGGCGGTAAACCTCATTTCACGAGGAAGAACGCCTTCTTTCGAAAGTTCCTCTTTCGAAAGAAGGCGTTCTTCAATGTAAATAGGGCTTCTTCGAAAGAGAGCATCCAGACTCACTGGATGCTTTCTTTCGAAAAAGCAAGCCGCTTTTTCGAAATTTCTCCGTGCAGTCTAGACGCTCTCTTTCGAAAGAGGCTCTTTCGGAAGATGCTTTCGAAAGAGCCTCTTTCGAAAGAAGCCTGCAGTCTAGACACACCCTGAGAGGGCAGCAGTGCCCTGCTGGGACGCGCCCCCAGTCTCGAAGGCTCCACACTGCAGAACTGCTAGTGCAGCCCCACACCCAGTCCCAGCACAGTGTGCATGTTAGGAGCAGGGTGTGTCTAGAGTTCATTGCAGTCCGGCTCTTCTTTCCCTCTCACAGCCCCCAAGGCTGAATGGAAGTCGCTCAGAATACTCTCACGAGTGGCGGTGCCTGAGGAGGCCTCAGGCTTGTCTACACATCGAGATATTCCAGAATTGATGCATGGGGGGCAGGGCGAGGACACATGCACAGAGCCCTGCGCAGACACAACACTTGTATCCGCAGCCACATCTGTATTCATAAAAATGAGCTGCGGAGATAAAGCAGATCTGCATGGATTAGCAGGACTCTCCGCATTCATTCCAGAAAGAAGTGACTGCACCTGAAGTTACTTAGGGATAGCCGTTGTGCTTTAAATCCATGCTCACTGTTACTCCAAATTAACTTGCAAGTGAGGACCAGTCTTTCCATCCCCCCCGCCCCAAGTCTCCTGAAAACAATTTGATGCCAGGTTCCACAGGAAAGTCAACAGCAAGGCATAATGCAGGGTATTGAAGGTGCGGATCGATTTAATCTTATTTGTCTGGATGTACAAATTCCTTCCACTGCCTGAAGGCAATTACCAACTATCAAGGCAGTTTCCATATCGTATCCAGCTCAGAAGCCCGACTGACTGGGCTCAAAAAAATGGGCAGACTACAGATGCGGCAGGAGTTGGCCTGACCCTGCCTTCGTCTTGACTTGCCCCCCAAAGTGAAGGCTGTAACTTATGAGATACGTTATGCCATTTGTTTTGAACAAGAACAAGAATTTGAGGGTTACTAGGCCTAAACTTTACTCACGGGCTTTCACCCACAAAGGCAGCACAATCCCCAATGGACGTCATGAAAAAAAAATGTTTATGCAGATTTGCCATGTCCTGCTCCCTCCCAGGGGAAACCACTTTGGGCCAGCTGCATTCTGGGCCTTTCTCAACTACAAGGATTTGTGTCTTTGTTATTAGGCTGCTGGGTTCCTGACCCACAAGCTTCAAACAGCCCCATAAGATCCCAGCTCATCATCTCACCCTGCTCAGCACACAAGGGAACGTCAGCACTTGTAGATCAGAGCCATTAATTTGTCATCTTACTCATTTCTCCAGAAGTTACGAGGCTTGAGAAAGCAGTGAAATGGCCCCATCATCTAAAATTGTAGGGCTACCACCAGACTTAAATATAGGAATAAATTCTAATGTTTGGTAGGAACTGAAACAATCTGCTTATCTTGAAGCTTCAGGGGGTAGCCGAGTTAGTCTTGAGTATTTCTGAGACCCCACACAACAATGCTGCACTCGGTAAGGACCTGAGCTAGCCCCCATTGGAGTTGAATGCTGCTGACTGGACCTAAAAGGTGTAAAGTGATGAAATAATTCCACCAGAGATCCAAAGATTGTGGGCTAAATTGTGCCCTTTTGTACAACTCTCTATAGGCTGCAGCACCCTCAAACTAGCCTCTTCTTGAGGTGGAAGTGATTTAATGCAGCCCTTCAAAAATGCAAACTACTCCCCGTCCCCACATGCCCTGCCAACTCTTAGCCAAAGCACTGGGGAAGAAGAGGCAAGGACCAATGGCTCCACCAAGTCTCTATCCCCTTGCTGACTAAAGGGAGCAGGTAGAATTCAGCCTTTGCACTCCTTGAAGGACATGAGCCCAAGATCTGGCTAAGTCTAGCACAGGGGTGGGCAAATACTGGCCCATGGACCGGATCTGGTCTGCCAGGGTTTAGCCTCTGTTATATTTACCTGCGCCTCTGCAGATGTAATCACCACCAGGCGCATTTGAACCTGGGACCTCTGGAGCTTAGTATAGAAGACTCTACCCCCTGAGCTAAAAGCCAGCTGGCTCCCAGCCCATCCTGTAGTCTCTTGGTTTTATCTGTTGCTGTGGTCTACATGCCACTGCATGGGACAGTAAACTACACTAGATGCGTGGGTTACACAGATACAGGGGATCACAGCTCCCATTGGCTCCGGATCACTGTTCCCGGCCAATGGGAGCTGCATTTACCCAGAGCTGTAGATGTGCAGGTAAATATAGCAGCAGCAACCCACCAGGGGCTAACCCTGTTTTATTGCTCACCCCTGCTCTAGAATGATGGGTTAGGAAAGGGGCTTATTGTTCAGTTGTGTTATGGCTACTCACAAGCTGGCCCTATATCAGTACCTGTTTTCAAGGACTTGAGGGTCAGTGGCATCTCTACCCTCAGCGATACACCTAGCAGTATTTCATAGCCACGGTAATACCCCCAGGTGCTGTATTGTTTTTAACGAAGGTGGCTAAACTTTTACCTAACTACTCCTCTCCCCATGCTTGTGAGGTAGAAAACATTTATTCTCAATGTCTTACACATCAGGAAACAGGAGGGCAGCGAGGCTCCAAGTGACCCACTTGAGCCCAATATCCAGCGGTGCTCAGGACCCATAACGCCAAGGGAGGTCAATGACAGCCAGGGGTGCTCAGTACCACTGGAAAAAAAAATCAAGCCTAGGGCATCTCTTGGAGGAGAGCCAAAGCCAGAGGGTGCATTTATCCAAGGAGCCTCATTCAAAGCCCTTTGACACCCACAGGAGTCGATTAACTAATGAGTTTGGGTGAGCTGGGCAGAAGTACTGCTCGGGAAGTCAGGACTGTGGCCAGGGCTGAGCCCCGTTTCTCAAGGCTTTGGGCATTTATCATCGGGTGGCACTGCGGCTACAGACTTTTAAGTCTGTGGGCACTGAAAAACACCAGTGAAGTCTCTGTGGCAGACTTAGGCACCTTTAGGCTCCTACGGACCTTTAGAAATCAGAGCCAGTGACAAAGACAGGATCAGAACTCAGGACTGCCAACATGGGGCTCTGTGCTCTCCTATG